CGGGAATCGAACCCGGGTCGCCAGGTTCATAGCGCGGTGAAGCGCTAACCGCAGCGCCACCGCTCCCCACACACCGAGATCTCCCCCCCCCCGATCGTGTCCACTGAGCCTGCGCTCATCAGCGCCGTGTGTCGCGTCGAGTTCGCGAGTCGTAAATTCCACGTTGCTCCGACGGGAGCAGGATGGATCGTGAGCCCCACCGTCCTCCGCCGCCCCTCGCCACGCCACCTCATCACGTGGACACAATCCGGTGCTGGCGCTCGCCCCCCGCGATGACCACGACATCGACCCCGGGTCCGGGAGTCGAACTTCGCGCCCCCCCCCCCCCACCTCCCACACACCCCGCGTGCAATCCTTCGGTCAGAGTCTCAGAACCGGGGAGACAAAGGCGGCCGGGCAGCGGTGCCGGGCCCACACCCCACCGCCGGCCTTCGTGCGTTCGGCTGCTGGCCACGAACAGCGCTTGCCCCGACCGTCTGCCAAGGGACTACCCAGGGGGGGGAGGGGGGGGGGGTCTTTGCCTTTGCGTGCAACAGGGCAGTCCTCGTTTAACGCGCCCCGTGTGTGGAGGTCGTTGCGTTAAAGCGTGGGAAAAAAGAACAAACCTCGTCGAGCGACAAACCAAACGTCGCCGTCAATGTTGTAATGGGGTAGCAGCGATTACAGGTGGGCGAGGTCGCGATGTCACCGCCGCAATGACCACGATGGACGCCGCGCGGTGAGACGCGCGTTCAGCGTTATAACGGTGAGTGTTTGGCGTTATAATGGTGAGTGTTTGGCGTTATAATGGTGAGTGTTTCACGTTATAATGGTGAGTGTTTCACGTTATAATGGTGAGTGTTTCACGTTATAATGGTGAGTGTTTGGCGTTATGATGGTCAGTGTTTGGCGTTATGATGGTGAGTGTTTTACGTTATAACGGTGAGTGTTTCACGTTATAATGGTGAGTGTTTCACGTTATAATGGTGAGTGTTTGGCGTTATGATGGTCAGTGTTTGGCGTTATGATGGTGAGTGTTTCACGTTAAAACGGTGAGTGTTTCACGTTATAATGGTGAGTGTTTCACGTTATAATGGTGAGTGTTTCACGTTATAATGGTGAGTGTTTCACGTTATAACAGTGAGTGTTTCACGTTATAACGGTGAGTGTTTCACGTTATAACGGTGAGTGTTTCACGTTATAACGGTGAGTGTTTCACGTTATAACGGTGAGTGTTTGGCGTTATAATGGTGAGTGTTTGGCGTTATAACGGTGAGTGTTTGGCGTTATAACGGTGAGTGTTTGGCGTTATAACGGTGAGTGTTTGGCGTTATAATGGTGAGTGTTTGGCGTTATGATGGTGAGTGTTTCACGTTATAACGGTGAGTGTTTCACGTTATAATGGTGAGTGTTTCACGTTATAATGGTGAGTGTTTCACGTTATAATGGTGAGTGTTTCACGTTATAACGGTGAGTGTTTCACGTTACAATGGTGAGTGTTTCACGTTATAATGGTGAGTGTTTCACGTTATAACGGTGAGTGTTTCACGTTATAACGGTGAGTGTTTCACGTTATAATGGTGAGTGTTTCACGTTATATTGGTGAGTGTTTCACGTTATAACGGTGAGTGTTTCACGTTATAACGGTGAGTGTTTCACGTTATAATGGTGAGTGTTTCACGTTATAATGGTGAGTGTTTCACGTTATAACGGTGAGTGTTTCACGTTATAACGGTGAGTGTTTCACGTTATAATGGTGAGTGTTTCACGTTATAATGGTGAGTGTTTCACGTTATAACGGTGAGTGTTTCACGTTATAACGGTGAGTGTTTCACGTTATAACGGTGAGTGTTTCACGTTATAATGGTGAGTGTTTGGCGTTATAATGGTGAGTGTTTGGCGTTATAATGGTGAGTGTTTGGCGTTATAACGGTGAGTGTTTCACGTTATAATGGTGAGTGTTTCACGTTATAACGGTGAGTTTTTGGCGTTATAATGGTGAGTGTTTCACGTTATAACGGTGATTGTTTCACGTTATAACGGTGAGTGTTTGGCGTTATAATAGTGAGTGTTTCACGTTATAACGGTGAGTGTTTCACGTTATAACGGTGAGTGTTTCACGTTATAACGGTGAGTGTTTGGCGTTATAATGGTGAGTGTTTCACGTTATAACGGTGAGTGTTTCACGTTATAACGGTGAGTGTTTCACGTTATAATGGTGAGTGTTTCACGTTATAATTGTGAGTGTTTCACGTTATAACGGTGAGTGTTTCACGTTATAACGGTGAGTGTTTCACGTTATAATTGTGAGTGTTTCACGTTATAATGGTGAGTGTTTCACGTTATGACGGTGAGTGTTTCAAGTTATGATGGTGAGTGTTTCACGTTATAACGGTGAGTGTTTCACGTTATGATGGTGAGTGTTTCACCTTATAATTGTGACTGTTTCACGTTATAATGGTGAGTGTTTCACGTTATGATGGTGAGCGTTTCACGTTATGATGCTGAGTGTTCCACGTTATGATGGTGAGTGTTTCACGTTATGATGGTGAGTGTTTGGCGTTATGATGGTGAGTGTTTCACGTTATAATGGTGAGTGTTTCACGTTATAACGGTGAGTGTTTCACGTTATAACGGTGAGTGCTTCACGTTATAACGGTGAGTGTGTCGCGTTATAATGGTGAGTGTTTCGCGTTATAATGGTGAGTGTTTGGCGTTATAATTGTGAGTGTTTCACGTTATAATGGTGAGTGTTTCACGTTATAATTGTGAGTGTTTCACGTTATAATGGTGAGTGTTTCACGTTATAATGGTGAGTGTTTCACGTTATGACGGTGAGTGTTTCAAGTTATGATGGTGAGTGTTTCACGTTATAACGGTGAGTGTTTCACGTTATGATGGTGAGTGTTTCACCTTATAATTGTGAGTGTTTCACGTTATAATGGTGAGTGTTTCACGTTATGATGGTGAGCGTTTCACGTTATGATGGTGAGTGTTCCACGTTATGATGGTGAGTGTTTCACGTTATAATGGTGAGTGTTTCACGTTATGACGGTGAGTGTTTCAAGTTATGATGGTGAGTGTTTCACGTTATAACGGTGAGTGTTTCACGTTATGATGGTGAGTGTTTCACGTTATGATGGTGAGTGTTTCACCTTATAATTGTGACTGTTCCACGTTATGATGGTGAGTGTTTCACGTTATGATGGTGAGTGTTTGGCGTTATAACGGTGAGTGTTTCACGTTATAATGGTGAGTGTTTCACGTTATAATGGTGAGTGTTTGGCGTTATAACGGTGAGTGTTCCACGTTAGAATGGTGAGTGTTTGGCGTTATAACACATTGTATGTATGTACTCTCTACATTATCTGTACATGTGTATGTGCGTGTACGCATGTACATGTGTGTGTGCGTGTACGCACGTGTATGTGTGTGTGTGCGTATGTGCATGTGTGTGTACGCATGTACATGTGTATGTGTGTGTACTCATGTTCATGTGTATGTGCGTGTACGCATGTTCATGTGTATGTGCGTGTACGTATGTACATGTGTATGTGTGTGTACGCATGTACATGTGTGTACGCATGTGCATGTGTACGTGTGTGTACGCATGTGTATGTGTGTGTACGCATGTGCATGTGTATGTGCGTGTACGCATGTTCATGTGTATGTGCGTGTACGCATGTACATGTGTATGTGCGTGTACGCATGTGCATGTGTATGTGCGTGTACGCATGTGTATGTGCGTGTACGCAGGTGCATGTGTATGTGCATGTACGCATGTACATGTGTAGGTGCGTGTACGCATGTTCATGTGTATGTGCGTGTATGCATGTACATGTGTATGTGTGTGTACGCATGTACATGTGTATGTGTGTGTACGCATGTTCATGTGCATGTGCGTGTACGCATGTACATGTGTATGTGCGTGTACGCATGTTCATGTGCATGTGCGTGTACGCATGTGTATGTGTGTGTACGCATGTACATATGTGTGTGTGTACGCATGTGTATGTGTATACGTGTGTACGCAGTGTTCATGTGTATATGTATATGCGTGTACGCATGCGCGTATGACTATAGTAACACGTTACTCGTGTATCTGTGCACATTCATTCATCATCGTCCGCCCGTCTCCAACGTGTCACCGATCCTTCGCGTCTCTCCGTGCGTTCCCGTGTCCCGCACGTCTCCACATGTCTCCATCTGCCTCCAGCTGTCTCCACATGTCTCCAGCTGTCTCCAGCTGTCGCCATCTGCCTCCAGCTGTCTCCAAGTCTCCAGCTGTCTCCCCGTGTCTCCAGCTGTATCCACGTGTCTCCAGCTGTCTCCACGTGTCTCCAGCTGTCTCCACGTGTCTCCATCTGTCTCCACGTGTCTCCAGCTGTCTCCACGTGTCTCTAGCTGTCTCCAAGTCTCCACGTGTCTCCCTCTGTCTCCAGCTGTCTCCCCGTGTCTCCAGCTGTCTCCACGTGTCTCCAGCTGTCTCCACGTGTCTCCATCTGTCTCCAAGTCTCCACGTGTCTCCAGCTGTCTCCAGCTGTCTCCACGTATCGCCAGCTGTCTCCAAGTGTCTCCATCTGTCTCCAAGTCTCCATGTGTCTCCATCTGCCTCCAGCTGTCTCCACGTATCGCCAGCTGTCTCCAAGTCTCCACGTGTCTCCAGCTGTCTCCAAGTCTCCACGTGTCTCCCTCTGTCTCCCCGTATCTCCAGCTGTCTCCACGTATCTCCAGCTGTCTCCAAGTCTCCACGTGTCTCCAGCTGTCTCCAGCTGTCTCCACGTGTCTCCCTCTGTCTCCAGCTGTCTCCACGTGTCTCCAGCTGTCTCCAAGTCTCCACGTGTCTCCATCTGTCTCCAGCTGTCTCCAAGTCTCCACGTGTCTCCCTGTCTCCACGTATCTCCCCCTGTCTCCACGTGTCTCCCTCTGTCTCCACGTATCTCCCCCTGTCTCCCCCTGTCTCCAGCTGTCTCCGCGTGTCATCCACAGCCGCCCATCGCCTCGTCTCCCGTCGCGCCGTCTCAGAACTCATCCTCGTCCACCGCGAGGTCCGTCTCCTCCTTGCCCGACCCTCCTCCTCCTCGCCCCCCGACACCCAGCGGCGAAGTCTCCGCGCGCCGCCCCCCGAGACTCGGCGAAGTCTCCGCGCGGCTGCTCGAGGACGCCGAACGCAGTGGCAGCAGCGCGGCGTCCCGACGCGTCCGGGCGCCCCCCCCGGCCGAGGCCCCCCGAACTCGACCTCCTCCCGCGCCGCCGCCGCCGCCGCCGCCGCGGCGCCGCAGCCGGAGCCGCGCGCCCGTGGCCAGGTACTCCTTGTACTTGTTGGTGAGCAGCGTGTAGAGGAAGGGGTTCACGCAGCTGTTGCCGTACGTGAGGCACGTGACCGCGTGGTTGACGGCGCGCGCGGTGCGCACCGAGGCGAGTGCCACGTGGGGTCGGTAGAGCTGCAGCAGCTGCCAGAGCCAGAAGGGCAGGAAGCAAGCCCAGAAGGCGATCACGATGGCCAGGATCAGGTAGAGGACCTTGTGTCTGGGCGAGTGCGGCGAGCGGCCTCGACCGCCCACCTTGCACCGACCGAAGCCGCCCATCGCCGTCTGGGACAGCCAGTAGGTGCGCGCCAGCTTCGCGTACACGCAGCCGATGATGACGCCCGGCGCTAGGATGCCCGCGGCGAACAGCGCGCTCATGTAGACGCGGTGCGCCTCCTCGCTCCACGTGGGCTCGCAAACTCGCTTCGTGACGCTGCGGGTCGAGCTCACGGCCACGGCCACCTCCTCCATGCGCACCATCACCGTGCCGGGCAGGGCGAGCGCCAGGGCGCCGAGCCACGCGGCGAGCGCCACGAGGCGCCGCGCGTTGAGGCCGCGCTCCAGGGAGCGCAGGGGCCGGTGGACCGCGGCGTAGCGCTCCACGCTCATCGCCGTGAGGATGAAGGCGCTCGCGTGCGTCGTGAGGAGGTCGGCGCTCAGGAGCAGGCGGCAGCCCGCGTCGCCGAAATGCCACGTGCGCGCCACGTTGGAGCACGCCACGAAGGGCGCAGTGGCGACGTACAGGAGGTCGGCGAGCGCCAGGTTCAGGACGTACACGTGCATGGAGGAGGTGGAGGACGCGGAACGTCGGCGCAGAGACGGCGTCGTCGGCGGGGGTTGCTGCTGCTGCTGCTGCTGCGATGGAATCATCGACGTGTACAGCGGCGGATGATGTTGTTGTTGGTGGTGGTGGTGGTTGTGAAGGTGCTGATGGTGGTAATGATGCTGCTGCTGCTGCGGTGGTGGTGGCGGCGGCGCGCGAGCGGCGAGGAGCCGGAGGAGTCGTCCCCAGCAGCGCGGCGGGGCCAGCGCGTGCCTCAGCACGAGCGTCAGCGTGTAGACGTTGCCCGCGACTCCCACCACGAACATCGCCGACAGCACCACGGCGATGGCCATCGCGGATCGCGAGTCGGCCTCGTCGTAGTCGCCCTCCTGCTGATGATGATGATGATGAAGGTGGCTGCGGTTGTGGTGGCCGTGGATGCCGTTCATGGAAGCGGCGGTCGCGGGAAAGTCGTGAGCCGAGGATGAGTTCGCCGAGGGAAGCGCCAGCAGCAGTAGCTGCTGCTGCAGGGCCAGCAGCTGCTGCTGCTGCTGCTGGCCCTGCAGCAGGAGGTGGTGGCTGCTGTTGCTGCTGCTGCTGCTGTTGCTGCGGTGGTGGTGGTGGTGGTCGCCACCGCTCTCGGCCGAGCGGTTCCCCGCGGAGCTCATCACTCAGTGCGCAAGGTCGCAGACGGAACGATGTGGAGACCTCGCTGGCACCAGCCCTGGTTCTAGACACCAGCCCTGGTACTAGACACTAGCTCTGGTACTAGACACTAGCCCTGGTACTAGACACTAGCCCTGGTTCTAGACACCAGACTTGGTACTAGACACTAGCCCTGGTACTCGCCACTAGCCCTGGTAGGAGACACTAGCCCTTGTTCTAGACACTAGCCCTGGTACTAGACACTAACCCTGGTACTAGACACTAGACTTGGTACTAGACACTAGCCCTGGTACTAGACACTAGCCCTGGTTCTAGACACTAGCCCTGGTTCTAGCCTTACATCTAACCCTGGTTCTAGACACTAGCCCTGGTTCTAGACACTAGCCCTGGTACTAGCCTTGAATCTAGCCCTGGTTCTAGACACTAGTCCTGGTTCTAGACACTAGCCCTGGTACTAGCCTTGAATCTAGCCCTGGTTCTAGACACTAGCCCTGGTACTAGACACTAGTCCTGGTTCTAGCCTTGAATCGAGCCCTGGTTCTAGACACTAGCCATGGTACTAGACACTAGCTCTGGTACTAGATACTAGCCCTGGTACTAGACACTAGCCCTGGTTCTATCCTTGAATCGAGCCCTGGTACTAGCCACTAGCCATGGTACTAGACACCAGCTATGGTACTAGACACTAGCCCTGGTACTAGACACTAGCTCTGGTACTAGCCACTAGACTTGGTACTAGACACTAGACTTGGTACTATACACTAGCCCTGGTACTAGCCACTAGACTTGGTACTATACACTAGCCCTGGTACTAGCCACTAGACTTGGTACTAGACACTAGCCCTGGTACTAGACACCAGCTCTGGCACTAGCCACTAGACTTGGCACAAGCCACTAGACTTGATACTAGACACTAGCCCTGGTACTAGACACTAGCCCTGGTACTAGACACTAGACTTGGTACTATACACTAGCTCTGGTACTAGACACTAGCCCTGGTACTAGCCACTAGACTTGGTACTAGCCACTAGACTTGGTACTAGACACTAACTCTGGTACTAGACACTAGCCCTGGTACTAGACACTAGCCCTGGTACTAGCCACTAGACTTGGTACTAGACACTAGCTCTGGTACTAGACACTAGCCCTGGTACTAGACACTAGCCCTGGTACTAGCCACTAGACTTGGTACTAGACACTAGCCCTGGCACTAGACACTAGCCCTGGCACTAGCCACTAGACTTGGTACTAGACACTAGACTTGGTACTAGACACTAGCTCTGGTACTAGACACTAGACTTGGTACTAGACACTAGACTTGGTAATGGACACCAACCCTGGTACTAGACACTAGCCCTGGCACTAGCCACTAGACTTGGTACTAGACACTAGACTTGGTACTAGACACTAGCTCTGGTACTAGACACTAGACTTGGTACTAGACACTAGACTTGGTAATGGACACCAACCCTGGTACTAGACACTAGCCCTGGCACTAGCCACTAGACTTGGTACTAGACACTAGACTTGGTACTAGACACTAGCTCTGGTACTAGACACTAGCCCTGGTACTAGCCACAAGACTTGGTACTAGACACTAGCCCTGGCACTAGACACTAGCCCTGGTACTAGCCACTAGACTTGGTACTAGACACTAGCCCTGGTTCTAGACACTAGCCCTGGCACTAGCCACTAGACTTGGTACTAGACACTAGCCCTGGCACTAGACACTAGCCCTGGTACTAGCCACTAGACTTGGTACTAGACACTAGCCCTGGTTCTAGACACTAGCCCTGGCACTAGCCACTAGACTTGGTACTAGACACTAGACTTGGTACTAGACACTTGCTCTGGTACTAGACACTAGACTTGGTACTAGACACTAGACTTGGTACTAGACACTTGCTCTGGTACTAGACACTAGACTTGGTACTAGACACTAGACTTGGTAATGGACACCAACCCTGGTACTAGACACCAACCCTGGTACTAGCCACAAGACTTGGTACTAGACACTAGCCCTGGCACTAGACACTAGCCCTGGTACTAGCCACTAGACTTGGTACTAGACACTAGCCCTGGTTCTAGACACTAGCCCTGGCACTAGCCACTAGACTTGGTACTAGACACTAGACTTGGTACTAGACACTTGCTCTGGTACTAGACACTAGACTTGGTACTAGACACTAGACTTGGTAATGGACACCAACCCTGGTACTAGACACCAACCCTGGTACTAGCCACAAGACTTGGTACTAGACACTAGCCCTGGCACTAGACACTAGCCCTGGTACTAGCCACTAGACTTGGTACTAGACACTAGACTTGGTAATGGACACCAACCCTGGTACTAGACACCAACCCTGGTACTAGCCACAAGACTTGGTACTAGACACTAGCCCTGGCACTAGACACTAGCCCTGGTACTAGCCACTAGACTTGGTACTAGACACTAGCCCTGGTTCTAGACACTAGCCCTGGCACCAGCCCTGTCTCTAGCCCTGGTCCCTAGCCCCTGTCACCGGTCCCGACGCTTGCGCTGAAGCCGCGACTCGAGCAGCAACAGCAGCAGCAGCAGCAGCAGTCCCACCCCGAGCCAGCTGGGACGCACGGAGCCGCGACACCAACTCGGCCACTGCCGTCTCAAACCCCCCGAGCCCGGCTCACCACAGCACCGACGACCCTCAAGTCCGTGCCGCTCGGCGTTCTCGGAGGCACTCCAGCGTCCCTTAAATCTCGCCTCGCGGATGAGGAAGATGACGAGGAGGATGACGAGGAGGATGACGAGGATGAGGTATCCGGGCACACATTGGCACGGGGGCAGGACTCTCCCGACAACTGGGTCTTGAGACTCAGACCCGAGCGAGACGTGGATCGGCAACTCGCAAGGCACCGTCCCCTCTCGACTTGAGGGATTGACGCACGGAGAGAGAGCAGAGAGAGAGCAGAGATAGAGAGAGCAGAGGGAGGGGGTTGCGTTTCACCACAGCGCGGTGCTCGACACGTGTTTAGCGGCCGGTGGAATGCGAGTGGGAGAGAGAGAGAGAGTGGGAGAGAGAGAGAGAGTGGGAGAGAGAGAGAGTGGGAGAGAGAGAGTGGGAGAGAGAGAGTGAGAGAGAGAGTGGGAGAGAGAGCGGGAGAGACAGCGGGAGAGAGAGTGGGAGAGAGAGAGTGGGAGAGAGAGAGAGTGAGAGAGAGAGTGGGGGAGAGAGCGGGAGAGAGAGTGGGAGAGAGTGGGAGAGAGAGTGGGAGAGAGAGTGGGAGAGAGAGTGGGAGAGAGAGTGGGAGAGAGAGAGAGTGGGAGAGAGATCGAGAGAGGAAAATTCTAAATATTACATAGAATAGGGAGAGAGGGGGTAGAGAGAGGGGGGGGGCAGAGAGGGGGGTAGAGAGAGAGGGAAGGGGTAAGGAGAGCAGAGCGAGACATATTCTGTTAAATCTTTCATTTAAAAAATGGGGGGGGGGGGGTTACATAAAGCAAAGCGTGAAAAAACGAAATGATGAACGAAGCAAAGTGCCGACTACACCGAGCATCTTCTTCCTCTGATCTTAAAAATAAAAAAAAGAGAGCGATCAATCACGAGCGTGGTGACTCTCACAACACGACGGCCGCCCAGCCACCGTGACCTCGGAGCCACAGCTCCGCGTTGTAGTCGGTGGTTGCGGTTATTCGGCACGATGCCCGACGTTTCGCTGCACGTGCCGAGCTTGATCTTTTTCGCGTTGTTCATGAACCGAGTTCCAGCGCTGCCGAATGGGAGCTTTCCAACCCAGCAGCGCGTGGCGATAGCGAAACGTCGGACTTGGTGCTGAGCAGCAGCGCGTCGAGGTACAAGCGGGGAGGGGACAGCCGCTGGCTCCATCTCCTTGGTGCGACTCCACTATAAATATTAATAAAATATAAATAAACAAAAACGAATAATAATTTTAAAAAAACTAAAATTCACGACGTTTCGATCGCTTGTGTTGCGTGAGTATTCGGTTTTTTTTATTTACTCATTTTTAAAAAATCATTTTTATTTTATTATTTCCTATCTACGGGACTTTACCGAAAGAAGCAAAGAATATGAATTCCTGCCGTCACGAAAGCTTTTCAGTCAAAATGTAAAGACATTATATATCAAGGCCGTAATTATAGCAATACATTGCTATAAAAAAATTGCTATGCTATGTAAATAAAAACAACAATTTGCTAAACCTTGGCCACACTATCTGGACTTGCCTTCATATAAATCAATGCATAGATTTCTGTTTATATGATTGTGGTTATGGTTGTACTTTATTAATTCCTAATCTCTTCCATTTACATACAATGAAACAAGAAATAGTAAAAAAAAAGTTTAAACAGAGCAATGTAATACAATATACACTATTAGACATTATTGTAAATAATAATAATAAAAGTCCATCCTATGTGTTAGTGAATTTTTTATATTTTAAGCAGGAAATGAGTTTTAAAATTTAGATATTTTTCTGGGGTCGGGACCCCCAGACTCCCTGGAAGATTTGATCTTCCCCCAATGTTGACTCCATGGCTTACGGCCCTTGCTATACATATATACAGGGTGTTTTAAAAAGATGGGCCCGATTTCAAAGCAGTACTGCTTTTATTTTTAATTTAATTTTACCAGATAGGGCCCCACTGAAATACGTAAATAATTTTTGAGAAGCGACCCTGACCATCGCAAGTGACAGCTCAAGGGAGTTGCCTTATCGTCTTCATCATCATCATCACGTGGACGTTTATAGCAGCGGACAAACAACTCTGAACGCGTGCTGATTTTTTCGTTCTCAAGTGTGCGAAGGCGGAAAACATAAACGGGAGGAAGACCCCGGAGAAGAGTACACGCGACCATGGGGAGACAGAGAGACAGAGAGAGACAGAGAGAGAGAGAGAGACAGAGACAGAGAGAGACAGAGAGATAGACACAGAGAGAGACAAACAGAGAGACAGAGAGAGAGACAGAGACACAAAGAGACAGAGAGAGACACAGAGAGACAGAGAGAGACACAGAGAGACAGAGAGAGACATACAGAGACAGAGAGAGAGACAGAGAGAGAGAGACAGAGAGAGACGCGCACACTCCAAAATAATCTACAGCAGTAGGCGTCTAGGTCGGGATCGAACCCATGACCTCCTGCATATCAGGCGAGAGAGATATCATCTCCCCCCCCCACTCCCCCTCTGCCCCCCCTCCCCCTCTGCCCCCCCCCCCTCTGCCCCCCCCCTCTGCCCCCCCAGCAGCAGCTGCTGAGCATTTGGGTCGCGTGTAGTGGTGGTGGTTCGATTCGCCTTACCTCTCGTGTGATGACGTGGGTGGGTGAGTAGGTGGGTGGGTGTGTAGGTGGGTGGGTGAGTGTATAGGTGGGTGGGTGTGTAGGTGGGTGGGTGTGTAGGTGGGTGAGTGGGTGTGTAGGTGGGTGGGTGAATGTATAGGTGGGTGTGTAGGTGGGTGGGTGGGTGTGTAGGTGGGTGAATGAGTGTATAAGTGGGTATGTAGGTGGGTGGGTGAGTGTGTAGGTGGGTGGGTGAGTGTATAGGTGGGTGGGTGGGTGTGTAGGTGGGTGGGTGAGTGTATAGGTGGGTGAGTGAGTGTATAGGTGGGTGGGTGTGTAGGTGGGTGGGTGAGTGTATAGGTGGGTGGGTGTGTAGGTGGGTGGGTGAGTGTATAGGTGGGTGGGTGAGTGTGTAGGTGGGTGGGTGAGTGTATAGGTGGGTGGGTGTGTAGGTGGGTGGGTATGTAGGTGGGTGGGTGGGTGTGTAGGTGGGTGGGTGTGTAGGTGGGTGAGTGTATAGGTGGGTGGGTGAGTGTATAGGTGGGTGGATGAGTGTATTGGTGGGTGGGTGAGTGTATAGGTGGGTGGGTTGGTGTGTAGGTGGGTGGTTGAGTGTGTAGGTGGGTGGGTGAGTGTATAGGTGGGTGGGTGGGTGTGTAGGTGGGTGAGTGAGTGTGTACGTGGGTGGGTAAGTGTATAGGTGGGTGGGTGAGTGTATAGGTGGGTGGGTGAGTAGGTGGGTGGGTGGGTGTGTAGGTGGGTGGGTGAGTGTGTAGGTGGGTGGGTGAGTGTATAGGTGGGTGGGTGAGTGTATAGGTGGGTGGGTGTGTAGGTGGGTGGGTGTGTAGATGGGTGGGTGTGTAGGTGGGTGGGTGAGTGTGTAGGTGGGTGGGTGTGTAGGTGGGTGAGTGTGTAGGTGGGTGGGTAAGTGTATAGGTGGGTGGGTGTGTAGGTGGGTGAGTGTGTAGGTGGGTGGGTGAGTGTGTAGGTGGGTGAGTGTGTAGGTGGGTGGGCAAGTGTATAGGTGGGTGGGTGAGTGTATTGGTGGGTGAGTGTATAGGTGGGTGGGTGAGTGTATAGGTGGGTGGGTGTGTAGGTGGGTGGGTGAGTGTGTAGGTGGGTGGGTGTGTAGGTGGGTGGGTGAGTGTGTAGGTGGGTGGGTGTGTAGGTAGGTGAGTGTGTAGGTGGGTGGGTAAGTGTGTAGGTGGGTAGGTAAGTGTATAGGTGGGTGGGTGAGTGTATTGGTGGCTGAGTGTATTGGTGGGTGAGTGTATAGGTGGGTGGGTGAGTGTATTGGTGGGTGGGTCGCCGAGTGGGGGGCTGTGAACCCCTGCCACTGATGAACTATCGATCCACGCCCACGCGACAATTCCTGCACTCAACGTGGAATCCGAATCTCGTCTCAGCCGCGGGTTCAGGGAACGGGCCGGAAACGGCCGCGCTCAATCCACTGCTGGATGGGTGCACGCATGAACCACGTGGACTCAGGCGTGGCACGTGCTGCGTCTGACCCGTGACCTCCTGCCAGCGGGCGCTCGACACTTCAACGTGACACTTCAACGTGATAGCCTCAACGTGCACCTAGCCTGGCACAGGCGCCGTGGTGAATGGCGGTTGTTGTTGTTGTTAACTGTGTGTGTTGAACTTCTTGCGTACCGTACGTAGCCGACCCGTCCTCATCGTGGCACCTGAGCGTTTGCTGTCGCACAAAGACAAAGATCCCCCGTGTAGCCTTCGCGAACTGTTGGGGCCAAGTGCAGCGAGTAGCAGCACCCTGTGAAGGCCGGCACGGCAACACGAGGGGGTGGGTGGCCAGCACCAAGCCCGCCCGGCCGCCTTTGTCTCCCCAGTGGCGAAGTTCGCACACGTGAACCCCCACACACACGGGAACACACACACACACACGTGAACACACACACGTGAACACACACACACGTGAACACACACACCGTGACACACGGGAACCTACTACACACACGTGAACACACACACGTGAACACACACACGTGAACACACACACACGTGAACCCACACACACACGTGAACACACACACGTGAACCCACACACACGTGAACACACACACGTGAACACACACACACGTGAACACACACACGTGAACACAAACACGTGAACCCACACATACGTGAACACACTCACACGTGAACACACACGTGAACACACACACGTGAACACACACACGTGAACACACACACACGTGAACACACACACACACCGTGACACACGGGAACCTACTACACACACGTGAACACACACACACGGGAACACACACACACGTGAACCCACACACACACGTGAACACACACACCGTGACACACGGGAACCTACTACACACACGTGAACCCACACACACGGGAACCTACTACACACGTGAACACACACACGTGAACACACACACGTGAACACACACACGTGAACACACACACGTGAACACACACACGTGAGTGGAGAGGTGAGCACGTGGGTGGAGAAGTTAGAGGAGATGAAGGCAAAGATCACCCCTATAGCCCACAAAGGCTGTTGGGGCAAGTGGCGTTAGCGATTCTCAGCATGTAATGAAGAGCGGCACGCCAACACGAGGGGTGGTGGGTGGCCAGCACCACACTAGCAGGTGCTCGTTTGAGGCTGAGTCGACCTTGGGGAGTGTCCAGGACCGGTTCAGAGAATCGTCACTCGTGGTGGTGGTGGCCGTGAGCGGGAATCGAACTCGGGTCGTCCGGTTCGTGCTGCAGTGCGCTAACC